CCTTCCTTCCTTCCTTCCTTCCTTTCCTTCCTTCCTTCCTTCCTTCCTTGTCAATAAATCTACAATAGACATACATACGTACCACATTTTGTGCCAAGGATGATGAATCCTGTTCAGCCTAGGGACCCCATCATCATGGCAACTCATGGAAGGGCAGAAGATGAGCATCCATTTTGAATAATGTCGGGGGGAAATTCCTTAAACCAGAATGCTTAAAGAAGTCTATTTGGACCCATCTTGAACATGTAGAAAAAGTACCTCACTGGATGATCTGAAAGGAAGGCTTATTGAGTGAACTCTGAGGACATGGAAGAGACCTAAAAAGTCAAAGAACTAATGTACATTACATCTGCGAAGATTCTGAGGAGATGATCCTTCCTTAATCTGAAAGTTAGATGTTCAGATTAAAGAAAAGACATAATTTTATAGAGGAATATATGTACATGTGTCTGTTTGACTGTATATTGGTCATTTTATAGTAGATGGTTTTGGAATGGTGTTGGTCATCTAGTCTCTGAGATTAAAAAGCCCGAACCCTGGGGAATGTCCTTTGTAACATGACGGGGGTGTGCCTTTCAAGAACAACTGCAAAGTACTGTATAGCATGTGCAACAATTGCAACACAATTGCAAGACTTTGCCATCGGTTTTGAGTGAAAATGACAGTGCTGGAGTTTCAAATGTTAGCAGATTTAAAACAGTGTTTAAAAACAATTTTAAAACATTGTTTAAAAGTAGGCTTGTTGAAAATATCCTTTCAAGGTTAACAAAAAATGTAATTTTAAAGGCCAAAGGCCTCTTAGAAAAATGTAGTTTTGGCTGCCAGCCCAAAGGTTAGGACTTTCCAAGCAACTGATTGGCTTTCCTTGAGAGCTAATTCCACAGCTGTTACAGACAAAATAGAGAACACAAAATAAATACTCCTAGGGCTATTGCAGTCAGAAGCCATCAAAATGTGCCTGCTAGTCAAATCCACTCCATGTCTGATCCTCCTTTATGCCACTCTGCTGTTTTCTTCACTTTCCTTCTCTTTTTTTTTCTTCATCACTCCACCGGTGAGAGCTCCATTGACCTAACTCCATGTTTTCCACAACTAGCTCGGATTCCAAAGACTATATGTACATGGGCCTCCAAAACACTAGAAAGGGTTGTGAATGTTGGCCACATCTGCAACCATACCCCACCCCCCAAAAATTCATACAGAAAGTGTGAGGGAGGTTTGAAACAGCTTCCTTGTACCTGCTACTTGTCTATCAAAAATACTGTCCACAAATCATGGTAAAAATGCTCCCAACACTGACTGGAAAGCACAAGGTAACTTTTTGAGAGTCTCACCAAATTGAAATTTGGGAGGCATGGCAGTGGTGCTGGTCACCCCACTATGCCAGAGGCCATGTTGGTGGTGGTGGGGGGGGGAAGGCATTCCTGTTCTAAGCTTACACCTCATCTTCCTGAAATTTTGGAATTTCTTGCATGGGGTCTAGGTTTACCAGCTCTCAGGGTGCTAGCTAAATTCTCAGGGACTTGCTTTGCTTTTCCAGATCTCCAACAGCAGAGAGAGAGAGAGTAACCAGCAGCTACAGGAAGGGAGTGAGGAAAGAGGTGCACTTTAGCCTAGTGTGTATCTGCAGTAGGGAATGGGGCCCCAGCATTTTGAGTCCACAAGCCCTTTTTTCCAAAGGCCTTGTTAGCAGCAACAAAGGGCCTGGGAGAAAAACTCTTCTCGCATTGCTGGTAAACCTTTATAGGTTTCTGAAATCCCTCTTAGATTTAAGAGGGGATCTGTTTGTAGGCATGAAGAGGCCACAAGTAGAAAAACATAGATACTGGGATGTTTACTTATGATAAGTATAGATTGCAATGCAAAGATTATAAGATTAAGTATGGAAAGAGATAGAATATAAAATATAGGCTTAGGCTGTAAGTCATCCCTATAATCAGTAGGTAAGTATAATTGAAGATTTTTGTTAATTTTTGTTGATTTACTTAAGTAAATTAACTATAATTTTGGTATAAATTAGCAAGGAGAATCCATGTCCTGAAATTAACCAGGGTGAGGCCAGGACTGAGGAGAATAATAGAAAAATGGAGTTGGAAGAGATCTATAAACTTATTGAGTCCAACCCCCTGTTCAGTGCAAGAATCGAAATCAAAGTAGATCTGACAGCTGGTTGTCCAATTCCCTCTTGAATACATCCAGAGTTGGAGACCTTGCCACCAACAAAGGAAAGCCAGAGGTTCTTAGCCAAAATTCACCACTCTGCCAAGCATGCTTTGTGTACATCCTCAGGCATTATTCTTGAATCAAGAAGACAAAGAAATCTGTTATAACACCATTAATAAAGGAAGAAAAGCATAAAGTCCAAGATATTCACAAAGGCTTTCACGGCCGGAATCTAATGGTTGTTCTGGGTTTTTCGGTCTCTTTGGCCATGTTCTGAAGGTTGTTCTTCCTAATGTTTCACTAGTCTCTGTGGCCGGCATCTTCAGAGGACATGACATAACGACTAAACAACAAAAAGTTCTGCAGATATGTGTGGCTACATTCTGATTTTATTTCTTTTGAAATCATGAACTCAAGTAGGACATGGTCACTTTCTCCCAGAATTCCTCTTGCTGCCACTTCTTCCACCATCTCTATTGGTTAGGATCAAGTCCTAGGATACTGTAGCTAATTCTCTGGTTTCTTCCTCCACTTTTTGTAGAAGAAAATTATCAGCCACACAAGCCAGAATCCAAGCCCTTGGAAAGTTGTGAGTGGGTTCAAGCTTGGGTGATCTCCATCCTCCATTATGTTCCCTGAAAAACAGCAATGGCTCTTTTTGCTAAATAACTTTTTTATTGTCTAACATTTGAGAACTGTGAACAATAACTTCTGTAGTACTAATGGGTAATGGGTTCTTCAAATCCTTCCATTTAGCATAATTGTCTTTCAACTCTGGAATAACAATAGAGTTCATGATCAAGGTTCACTCCAAAACACTTTTGATCTGTCAGTTTTCTTGTTGGGTTCCTCAAATGGGGGCATTGTTTTTAAAAAACAATTAAAAACACTGATGTTTCGGCAGGCCTTCCCCTCAACCAATTCCTGATTTTCCCTCTTTTTTTCCTCTCTCCTAGTGTCTGTTCCATCTTGTCCATAGTTTGTCCCCTTTTTAAAACTGTTTTAATTATATTGTATCATGCTTGTTGTAAGCCGCCTAGAGTGGTCTTAAGTGACTAGATAGGCGGGATATAAATAAAATAAAATAAAAAAAATAAAAT